AATTTTGAGCTTGAAATTTTTTTAATTTTTTTAGATGACTGGGGGGCGGGGTATTAGTATTTTCATATAATTCATATTAGTTGTGTTTATAACTATGTGATTAATATCAACAATAAAATTTGTAAATGTTAAGTGTAGTGTACTGTTTAATTTTGTTTATTATTATAATAATAATTTTTTTTTTTGGGGAAATTGGTGAGTTAATTTATTCTTTTGTAATGCACAACGTAAATATGTTAGTCGGGTGTGTTCATGTGTTCAACTAAATATTTACGTAATGATTGTATGCCTTGAACAACACTTAACCACTGCCCCTTACACTGGTTACCTACCTGGTTTATTCTGCTTATACTTTAGCACTATAGTGTGTACTTATTCATGTTAAATTATTTTGTTGAAATATATAAGGTACGTTACCAAATTACTTATATGTTTTTTAAGGTTTTCATCCAAGTGATTTCTTTACCAATATATATTATTTTCAATTTCGTTAATGTTCCATAATAATATCGTAATTATATGTCCTATTAAAAACAAGTTTGTCTTTATGCTATTTGTAAAGTCAGAATTGTAGCGAACGTTCAAATTAAGTCTGTGAAAGTATGATCATTTTATATACCTTTATCCCGATAATATGTTCTCATGAACCAGCAGTCATTACAAGCAAAGAAAAGACTAAACAATATTAAGTATTTAATAATAAATATTCATTTATTAAAAAGTAAATTTATAAATATGCTAGTAATTATACTGTTAATGTCTAAATAAACTAGTCCAGTTCATTAACCGTTACCAACAGACAATCATAGTTTGTTGAGAGTTTGACAATAAAAAAATAAAAATAATTTCACAGGTGAGAACCTTTTTATTGACCAAAATACTTAAGGTTTAACATATCTGTTATTATAAATTTGATTAATATCTGTATGTTAAAATCTGTTGGTAACCATAATTTGTCCTTAATGTGATTTTGTCAGGTAGACTGAAAAAATTAAGTTTTTATTTTCTCGTCGGGTTTTTTACAAAACAATATTATGTGTGTGGTTACTAGATTTGTGCAAAGAGAAAAAAAATATTTTCCAATTAAAATCTCATATCTTGTAATTTTTTGTAATGTAATTAAAATAACAATTATTATCGGGACGTTTCTTATAAACAGTACATTTTTATGTGCAGGTGTAACTTTTTAAGTTTTCGTCTTGTTTTTGCTCAAAAGTAATAGTCTCTGCGCACTATGATTTCCATTTTAGTGATTTTTGCAAGTCTGTTATTAATCAATTTTACTGCGGATACGGTTTACCAAAAAATATGAATAATGATAAACAGGGTTAATATTATACCAATTAATTTAAATTTTCTTCTCGCTTTATTTTCCGTATTATTATTTTTATATATATTTTTTTGTGAGTGGATGTTGGCAAAACAAAAAATAAAAACTACTGTAAAATAACATTAAGAAGCTCAATTCGTAAAGGTACATATTTCTCTTACACCAATGTGAAGAAAGAAATTGTGATATCAATGTTATACATACATACATATATATCGATTAGTTTATGTTTCATTTATTTCTTTCTTTCTATTTTTATGAGTATAAAAATAATTGTGTGGCTTTTGTTGTGATATGTACAAGTGATAATTACCATTCACATGATATGAACCAAGAACAAGGGTCAGATATCAAATGAGGTGCTAAATATTTATGCACGTTATGTTGTTAATCTCCATCATCCCCGTCTTCCTTTAGTGTACTATATTTTGAACCTCAACCGTTAAAATATGTGCCTTAAAATGTATGTACCTTCTTTGTCATCTGAAATTTAGAATCTATGTAGGTATCAACCGTTTGTTTTGTAAGTTGTAATGGAAAAAAAAATAACGCTAACACGTGTTTTTGTATTTTTGCCTTTGCCAACATCAGATTTCATCAAAAATGTTTATAAATAGTAGATATATTTTATTTTTATTTTTCGTGTGTGCCGCTAGTTTTATTTTATGTAATTATTTAAATATCTCTAGTCATGTCTAGTGGTAAAAATACTCATATTTGGGAGTAAACGTCGTCGAACTATGTTTTTTTTTTTTAATCTTACGATAATAATTATGGTTAATGTATTATAAATTAGTTATTAATTTACTACTTTATTTGTATAATATCTAAATTGGTCACAGAACATACTTTAGAAATAAATAATAATAAAATGGAAATGTATTAACTTAAAATTTTATTAATAATATAAATGGTGACGGAAACTTATTGACCATTTTTATTTAATAGTTTTATTTCTGCTTGAGAGTATAAAAATCGTCTGTTTAAAACTTACTTGAACGTCTTTTTTTTTTATAAATATTAAAAAAAAGGAGTATTTGAGACTTAATTTTAACGAAATCTCAATGTTCACTGCTGATATTATCAATTGATTTGCCTTATATCGTGTTTTATATAAAAAATACATTTGATGGCATTTTGACCCATTTTTTTTTAAGTGACTAAGTGGCCTTTTAGTGGTATTTTTTGTTTTTATTAAGATGAGACGTATATATATATACATTTTAAATATTTAAATATTATAAATTTTAATTGTATTACCATGTAATCGAGTGATAATAATTGCAATTTTTTTTTAACCAACTAATAATTTTTGTACCTGGCTGTTAAAAGATTTCTGATCGAATTTTCATTTAAATATCTTATAGGCGCTAAATGGCCCTATAGCGACGAACACATTGTTTTCATTTCTATTTGTGGTTTTAAAATTAACTATGCAATTATTATGTAATGGTTTGTATCTTAGCTAAGACCAAAATTAGGATGGAAACATAAATTTACATATAAATATATGTACATATATGTATGTATGTTTATATATATTTATTACAACTTAATTATTATTAATGTATAAGGATTATATTTAATTATTAAAAATATGTATTTAATATTATTGAGAAAAATTAATTTTAGTAGCTGTTGTACGTGCAATATAGGTATATTGCTTTCTCTCTTGGTTATAATAAAATGATATTTATCTTAGCGAATATTATTAACCCATTTTGATTGTTTTGTAATTATTCGTAATTCAATAAAGGTTGTAATTAATTTTTGTTTTTTTTTCTACCTACAATACAAGCATTCAAATTCCTAATTTAAGCTGAAGATTCTCTAGTTTATCCTTCTATTTTTCCTTTAAAAATAAAATATTTTCACATTTAAATCTTAATATTTTTAACTGCAAAATTTGTTCTAAAATATGTTTTGTTTTTATTATCACTTTGAATCAATAACATTATGTATACTAAATAGTTACAAATGCTGTACTAATAAAAAATAAAAATAAGTAAAATTAGTGGTTTGACTAGTTTTATTTATATCAATATAATATTATAATATAAAACTTAAAAAATTATCAAATTGAGAAGAGTGTTATAATTTAAAATTCAGGCTGGTTCAATTACCTAAAGGCCTGCTATAGAGCTTCCTTTATTGTTTGTTTAAAATTAAGAAAAAAAAGTATCTTGGCTAGTTAACCATTGATTATAGTATAACAAAACTGAACTTTTTTTGTGAAATCACAAATAATAAATGTGATTTTTTTTTTAAAATTATTGTATGGAATGATTATTCATGTTATATGTAGGGACATGAACTTAAAATTTTAAGTCTTTGGTAATATCTTTGTATAATTCAAAATAAAATGGTTTGTTAACATTATAAATACAATAATACTTCAGGCAAAGCATTTATTTATTTATTTCTATGTATAAACTATTTATTTATATATTAATTTATGAGTATTAACCATTTACTAATTTTTATTTTATTTTTTATTATTTTATTAAAAATATGGATCAATAACATAGTTCGTAATAAATAAAACATGAAAATATATTTTTAATTATATAAAAATGATTTTTATTGAATTTATAAGAATATTTTTAGGTATAACATAAAGAAGTTTTGTACTTAAGACAATCACAAACATGTTGTCAATGGATAAGTTTTATGCAGTTAAATTGTATACAAACTAAATGCATATTTTTGCAAAGGTAAGAATTACTTATAAAGATTTGATTAAAAATTATAAATTTATAGGGAAATTTAAAATTCTTTTATTTAATGCATAGACATTAAAAAAACAATAGGGATAAACCAACTTCTTCCAACAATGCTTGTTATCTTAAAATAATTTTGGTATACGTACATGTTAGCTTCAAACAATTAATTAAAAACTCAAGAAAAAGTAATTGAAATTACACCACTAATTTAAATCAAAAATATATTTAGTTAATATTTATTACAAAATAATGAAAATCATCATTTATATCAGGAATGGGCAACTTTAAGTTACCAGAGAGGGCCAGAATTGTTGACACTTACAGTATTGTTATAAGAAAATAATTATTAGTTATAGACATGTCAGAGCATATTCTAACATACAAAGTACGTGGCACTAGTACCCCCCCCCCCCCCGTGATTGTGTCACATAGTCTCATAACGACTGTAATGACAGGAGTTGATTTCCCTGTACGTTTCTCTAGTAGACAATTTTATTAAAGTGCCACCCAGTGAAAATTACTCAAAATATGTTCTGGGACATGTCATATTTAGACTTATTTTAGCTATCAATATATTAATTAATGAGTTCAATAGTAGATGAGAATTAATAACAATATTTTACAAATGATATAATATACTATATTAACTATAGAAAACACTGATGAATATTTTCACAAAATGTTACCAAGTATTTTATCTTTTGACAATAGAATTCTTTTTAAAAGGGTCATCAACTGCCCATCCCTAATTTATTACATATATTATATAAATATATTACAGTGGATAAATTATTTGATAAAAATGGGTTAATAAGATAAACGAAATGTAACAAAACTAATATTTAAAAAATAAGTGTTTAAAGAATTTGAAAATATGTTGGTATAAATTTTGATTTTAAACGTATAAAAATATTATTTATTTATTTTTCAAGTTTACAATTTAAAATTATAAAATTATTTCATAATTACTAATTTTCTTTTTTTAAATGTGTTTGGATTATTTTTTTTATGTTTATTGAGAGTTCTTTCATCTAAATCTTCAATCACTCGATTATCCATTACTCCAACCGTAGGTAAGTCTTCAACTCGTTTACGTTTCTGCTTTTCTGGACAATCTTTGGCAAAATGAGTAACATCTCCACATGATCTATTTAATTTACACCACTGAATTATTTTTAACATTCTTATAAATAGAGAAATATTAAAATTTCAATGCTTTTTGTATAGCTAGAACCATTGATTTTACTGTAAATTATGAAATCATTAAATAAATATATTTATAAAATATCAAAATAATCAATACAATATATATATACACATATTTATGTGTTGATTTATCAGTAAATTTTTTTATTTTATAGTTTATAAAAGTATCAAGAATTAAATTTAGAAGTAAAATAAAGGTCCATAATTTATTTAATAATATTGGTGGTAAAAACAATAATAACTATTTAAGTAAATTACCTGCAAGCTCCTCCATTAGGATACAAACCCATTGGATTATCAGGGCACTGGCGTGAGAGATGGCCTTCTTCATTACAGATAAAACATTTGGCAAACTCAAGTTGGTTATTATTTCCTGCATTACGACATTCATGCAATTTGTGTTCAGTTGAACCACATCTGTAATGTTATATAATTAATAGATATACAGGTAATTAAATATACTTAGTTTAAATTTCATAGGCAGTTGTCAATCATTGAATTTTATAGTCCCATTAGAATAATACTCTTTGGGTTAAGATATATATTGAACTATAGTTGTAAAATATATAAATCTGTAATTTTTTATATACTATAATGACTTACTTAAAACATACTCCTAAGGCAGTATTAGTACCCAATTCTGGGCATTGGTTAAGCATATGACCAGGTTGTCGACAATGAAAACATGCTTTTTGCCTTAATCTAGCTAGTTTTTTTTCAGCTCTTCGACGCATTGGCATTAGATGAGCTTTCAACTGATGTCTGGGTATACCTTGTTTTATCAATTTAAATTTTTCCACTCGTAATTTGACAGCATCTTCTTTTAAAACACTAAATCCGTCAAACTTCTCTACGTTTGAGTACGAATCGTGCTTACGACTCTCTTTGAACACTTCAGTGTTCGATTCGTTCGCTTCCACATTTTGCGGCTTCTCTTTCATCTGCGACCATGGCGTCGCTTCTTCCGGTAGTTTTTCGTTTGACGACTTGGAGCCACGAGCTCTTGCAAATCTCGTCATCAGTTCGATAAGTTGTTTAACACTAAAACATGAAATTAAAAATATAACACTAAGTTAATTTTATTGACAAATAGTTAGGTGATAATGGGCCGCGTCATGCTGGATCATAAGGATTTTGATAAAAAGAAAAAAATGACAATTATTAATTAGTCGAAGAGAATTTCAAAATAATACGAACGTGGTTCTACGATTTTATTTGTATAAACAAACTCATGTGGTTTTGATAATATATCACAGTTTATATATATTATATATATATATATATTACAGTTTGACTACACACACACACACACACACATCATTATTGTTATCTTTGACTATACATGTATTATCACTAATTAAGATATACTCTGTATATGTACATCTTAATTCGTAATTATTGAATATCTGTGAGTCATGAATTTATGTTAATTAATACTAACTTAATTCATGTTATATGCTCTGTGGTATTTAACATCTCAATGTCGCAGAATAATCATTCTTTGATATCACTTTCGAAGAACTCACAGAGAATATAAACTTGACAACCACTCCTCGCTTTTTACATTCTCCTAGAGTTTCAATCACGTTTAATCTTTATTTATAATTCAAAAATACCGATAACGGAAAAACTTTAAAATACCCAACTTTGATAAGTATTACTACTAGTTCGTTTAGTCATCTACAATGGTATTTATAGTTTGACTTTTTAAATTCTGTACTTGTGAGTATTCGATTGAAATTTTAATTGACTTGTCTAATGTTAAGTGAATAGTTATCCTCTATAATTCCTTAATTACTTAGCGTAAATTTATTTTTCGTCATGAATGATCGTGTTAATTACAACATTTTATTATTACTATTGTTTTGATATTATTTCATATGTTTAATGCATTGTGAATTGATTTTTTAATATTAGTAAGTGATATAGTACTCTTTATTTTATTCCCAATTTATTACTCGATTTAAATTCATGAGCTTTGTTTTTAAAATCTTAATTTTAGATGATTATGAGTAGGGCTTGGAAGTTGATGCCTTTTGAATTTTTTTTTGAAACTTTTTACACAATCCTTCTCTGGCCACAAATGTGTTTCATTAGCTTGTGAATCCGAATAAATAATTTTTATTTTGCATTTTTTGGTGTTTATTACTTTTTAAATCATTTTTGACATTTGTAGTAATTTTTAATGATTTCACACTAGTTCATTTCTTATTGTTTTTTGTTCACCATTATGCTGATATCTTAAGACTTGTCTGATTTTATTTTAAATTAGAAATTAAAACTTTGTTTAGTGCTCCTCTGTGCCTCCCAATCACTTCAGTGGGCGTGGAGAGAAGTTTTTCCAAATATAAATATAAACAGATAATCGTAGTTTCATTTACTTTTAATAACATCAAATATGCTCTAATTGTACAATGCAATTATATTGATTTTTGAGTAATTTGTAAGCTTTGATAAATTTATATGGAATATTACAGTAAAATAAAGTAAAATATTAAAAAAAAATTTATTTTTATTAATTTAAAACAAATATTTGTAATTTTTAAGGTCATCAACTTCCGAGCCCTAATTATGAGTATTGTTATATATTTATTATTATTTTTAATTTTATTTATTTTATGATTTTTGTTAATAATTATAGTACAATGAGAAGATATGATTGTTCAATAGAAAGATACATTTAAAATACTATTTAATGGTATTTTACAGAAGAAATTAAGATATTTTTGGTATGAATTGGATAATGTAGATAAACCATCATAATAATCATTCAGAAAAACTATGTGTAAAAAAATGATTTGCATATAGAATTCAATTCAATTGTGCAAATTTTGGTGTTTTAATAGGAAATGTAGTCAAATTTACATATATACACAGTAGAAACTCAATTAACTATCACTTTTTGTTATCCACCATCGCTATTGTTTATTAGGTAATCGCAATAAATTTTTTGCAACGACTATCAAGCGTAATGTTTCTAATATTCAACATATGTAATAAATGTGACGTGAACGTACATATGAAATATTGCAGGCTAAAAAAGCTCGAGTGTTAAAAAAAAAAAAAAAAAAAAAAATTTCTGTTAACTCTATATACCATTAATCGTCATAGTCCTGGTCCTGAGAGTGAAGGTTGATTAAGTTTCTACTGTATGTATATATATATATAAGTATGTAAAAATACTTTTGCAATTTTTAACTATTGCATTTTTTTTCTAGTGAATTATTATAGTTTTATCCTATGAAATGGCATATAATTCAAATACTTCTCAAATTGTTAGAACTTATGGAAAGCCTAGGCGTACACAATTATTGGGACAAGATTCTGTGTGGCATAATGATTTAACCGATGATTTTGATAAATGTTTTGGTATAGAAGATGTTCAACAAACAATATTTATTTCACCTGAACCTGCTGGCTCAGTTACAATGTACAAGCCTGTAAAACATAAGAAGAAAACTGAAAATAATATAAATTCTATGAGTAAATGGTCTATGCAATTACATTCCTCTTTAAATAGACCTACAAATTATTCAACTGTAAGAATAAGGTAAATTATATACATAGAACTTTAAAGACTTATTGAAAATATCTTAACATTCTCTTACAATATTAATATATTGTAAGCATGATAATTCTACTGACTTGATTACATCTTTATTTAAATTTCATCAATCATTATTAAGTTCTTTATAAAATTATTTTGCTTAATTAATTATATTTGTTGAATTAAGTACTATTCACTATTTTAGTATGATTTTCTTATCATACTCGAAACAGTTTAATACAGTGGTTTTCAAACTATTTTGTTTGCGGATCTCTTACGTTTTCAAAAAAATTTACAGAGCCCCGAAAATCAGGAATTTATATTCTATACAATAATTATTAATATTTCATATTAAGTAAAACACACAGTTCAAAATTTCATTTTTTTTAAAGTTTGGGTTTTGTCATTTACTGTGAAAACTTTGGTCATGTTACGTTGTATTGATAAATTTACTTCATTTAATTTTGTGAAAATGTCAGCTAAGTTATGAAGTCAAAATAACCAAATTTTATCAGAAGTCTTACTTGTAAATAAAATTGATGTTACTTAAACGTATAACTCGTTGCGCAATTCAGGTAATCATACCAGTGTTTTTCCTCAATAACTAAGAAATATAATAATATTTAAATTTAGATAGTTAATATATGCCCACGGAGCCTCTAAACTTCTTACGCGGAACCCTAGGGCTCTGCAGAGCACAGTTTGAGAACCGCTGCCTTAATAGATATACTTAATGCTAGATTTAAGGGGATGGTTAATGGATATGCTTGCCCTAAGTGCTGTTGGTATAAGGGCATTCTTAAGCTTGTGAAAAATAAAAAAAGTCATGAAAATACTCCTTACTTCCATATCTAAAGGTGTTATATTTTAATTAGCTCCAAGTGTCAAATTTTCTGTGATTTGTATAATTAGTCTGACAATGATTATACTAACCACATTCCCACGTCTAATGTACTTGTCAAGTATACCAATAGTTTTACATTTAATCAGGAAATAATTATTTTGAATATACAACTTGACAATCTTGACTTGGCAATCTTGACAAGTGCACCAATATTCGAGTTTATGTACTAGTAGCCAAGTACACCGTTTCTACAGTTGTTTATCATTAAAGACCGGAAATAATTGCATTAAAAATATCTTAAAATTGCACTAAAAAAAAATGCCAAAATTGCAATGAAATACGTTAATATTACATAGTAAAATCATATCAAATATATAATCATTAATTACTTACTTAAATAATATTATGAACATGAATATAATATTTAAAAAATATATAATTTTTCTGAATTAAAATTTATAATTATATACATCTCTAAATTATGTTCTTGAAAATTATACATTTGTTTCTTAAAATATGTTTATGTAATAAAAAAGTACGTTCAACGTCGACACTTGTTATAGATGCACTTTTAAAATAGTTTAAAAAATTGGGTTTTATATCTAAATAAACATTTTGATTTTCTGTTATAGTCTCAGAGTAAGTTTTAATAGTTTTATATCCTTCATTTTTTTCTAAGATATATTTTAATTTATCTTTTACTATTTTCCCATTGGGACCGGGAATATTAATAGAAATATTTATACTTAATATTTTTATTTAGTTAGTATTTATTTATTTAGTATTTATACTAAATATGTATAAACTATTAAGTAATTGAATATCTGATTATTCTAAACTTATGAGTTATGTGGATAACTCAAATATAATTTTAAAAATTCTAAACTACATATAACTACATGTAAAAATGTACATTGTAGTTATATTTTTTTTGTAGAATCACTTTGGAAATAATAATTTGGATATTTTATCACGTGAAGTATACAAAAATTGCAATAATTGCAAAAAAATTGTATTATTAAATTAAATAGGAATTAATCTAATTCGTGTACATATTTGATCAAATTTGATTTACTGGGTATTAATAAAAAGTTGCAATATCAATTATATCCACTCTTTAGTTATCATAGTCAATATTGTTCATGGGGTATAATCTTAAATAATAACTTTATATGTTCCCATTTTTGTTTGTGTGAAACTTAAAATAAGAACTAATGTAGTCCTTACATTACTATTTATTATTATTATTACTTTTATTATATTATTACCTCATAGAATGTATATAGTGAATTGTCCTTTTAAAAGTAATAGTATATATATATATATATTTTAGAAATATGGATGATTATAGTTTGAACAGTAATACTTATAAGGATAACTCAAGGTTGCATAGTACAAAAAAGAAAAAAAAAAAATTGTTCTAGTTTTAAAGATACTTCTAAACTAAAAGGAAATAATTCTGATATCGCCAGCACATCAAAAGGTATGAATGTTATAATAAAGTAAATATTTAGGTTAGGAAAATAATATTCAAACTCAAAATTACCATAACTTATTTATTTCACTGCAAACTTAGGGAATGTTATATATTTATTAACTAAGTCATTTGGAAGGGGTAATTGAGTTGATATTTAATAGGAAATATGTATAGAGGAGTAAGATGAAGAAGAGAATTGAAAATGTATGAAAGTTGTATAAAATCTTCAGAGATAAAATCATTCTAAATAATATTTTGATAGTTATTATTTAATTGCTTACTAACTTACTATAATTTACTTAATTTTAGTTTTTTTTTTTTTCACACCAGATATTACAATAAATTGTTTTGATTTATTAAAATAATTATCCGTGTGTAAGCAACTAATATTTTTGATCTAATTACATTAAGAAAAAATTAATGTTTTAAAAATACTTCTTATTCTTATGTTATAAGATATATATTATACGAAAAAATTAAAATGTAATAACATTTAATTAAATATAATGTTTTCTGTAACAGATATGTTAAGATCAACCAAAAAATTAAAGAAAAAATTTAATCGGTCTAAAAGCCAATGTTCAACGCCATTACAGAGTTCTACATTCAATACACATCAAAATAAACTAAATAATAGAAAAAAAAGTAAAATTCAAAAAAAATTGGTAAATGTCTTTGATGCTCAATTATCTTCAAACAACTATAAAAAATCAAATTTACAATTAAATAGTTCTTCATCAATTGGAATAAACGATAGATGGAACCAATTTGAACAATCCATTCAAATAGCTGGTTCTCGTGGTTTACCATCATCAAACAAACAAAAAAGTAAAAAATACACTTATGCATTAAATTCAATTGTTAATAATGGTAAAAAAAATCGCAAAGTTGTTTTAAATAAATCAAAGAGACATTGTATAAAAAAAAAAAAGTCCAGTTCAAAAGAGAAACATTCAGATTGGTACCAGAAAGTAATGGATATTATTGGTATTAAAAAGAACTATTCTTTCAACAATTTACATAATAAAGATCATAAGAATGAAGAAATTAAAACTGATAAAAGTTTAGAAAATCACTGTTCTAAATCAGCTACACCTTTGAAAAGTATGAATAATAAGCCATTGGAACAACAAATATTATCAACATCATCATCTCCCAAACTAAATAATAAATCATTTCAACTTCTAAAACACATTGAAGATATTGAAGATATAAATGAAGTTATTAATAAGTCACAACAATCCTATGAGTTACATGATGATGATGATACATCTGATTCATACTGCAATTCTTTATATGACACATACTATGAAGTTAATGAAAATAAAATAATTGAAAGCATTAGATCTTCAAGTGATGTTTGTACAAGTGATAGTATTGTTAGTGATGAACCATTTTATGGTAAAATAAAAACTATAGATAATAAATCACCTCAACAAAATACATCTCCATTAAACAGCATAAATATTTCATGTAATTTAAACTTAAATTGTTCTATTGATTCTTGTGCAGATTCCCTTGATATTAAATTGGTAAACATCTTAGAACGATGTGAAGTTCCAAATGTTGATCATAAATTTAATAATCAACAATCTGTTTGTAGTGAATCTAATTCAAAATCTTTCATTTTACAAGATGTTATGAACAGATTTTCTGACATTTCAATAAAAAATGAAATCACAAACCATGATCATTCATTAGATAAATCTATACCCAATATTTTAAGTAATAGCTCTGCTTTACAAAGTTCATATTTTTCGGAACAAGATACTGTTATTTATAAACAAAATTGTACAAATGATCTTTCAATAGAAAATCCAAGTAACTCAAATTGGTTTTTTGATGAAAGTGTGCCCCTCATAACCCCCAGTAAACATTCTTCGAAAGAAAATAGTTTGAAAAATGATATTATGTATGATAGTATAAGTTTATCTAAAAGTAAAGATATCACTTCAGATTTCATATTAAACGATCATATCCAAAAAACTCAAATTCAAGAGAATTCTCTTATAGATATATCTCCTATTAAATATGAACAAAACACTACCATTGAAGATTGGACGAATACTTCTTGTAATTCATTTAATGACTTGAAAGAAATTAACACGATGAATGCATTTCGGCGAAAAAGATATGGCACCCGATTTCAGAATAATTTTAATGTAATTGAAGAGTCATTTGATGAAAATGAAATTGAGATTAAAAACTCCACTCAAAAATACATTGACTTATCACAATCCACACAATACCAGCAAAATATACAAGGTTTTCGATTAGAACCTGGTAAAAAGTGGCGTCGTTCTATAATAATTGTACGTAATTTTATTGATGGTAATTTGGATCAGACTGTGAACTTTTCTCAAAACATTACCAGAGGTCGAAAATGGATTTCTACAGTTGATGAAGTATTACGTCAACAAGCTATTGGTAATTTTAGACAAGCTTGATTGATGCCAATTTGATTGTAATTTATTTTATATTTTCATGTTTGCAGATACTACTATTCATCAAAGGTTAAATCAAAACAATAATTTCAGAAATTCAATAAATAATACCAGCCAACAATTTGCTAAGAGGAATTCTACTGGTAATTTAAATATATATTAATTTTTGATTTCTATAAATTATTTTTGATAGTGAATTATTTTTATTCAATTTATTCTAATAATATTTCTTGAAAAATGTAGAGTCTAGTGGGGGTGTTATGGCCGTATAAATAAGGCGGCTGTGTTTAAATCCATGATTTGCAGTTTGAACCTGACCATTGGCAGTTTCACTTTATGAGTGGGATGACTATTTCTATTGATGAAATCTCCCCCAAACAAAAAGGAGTTCACACATTCCATAGCCCGACTGTAAAAAACCTATCATATCAAAAATAAACTAATAACCATTGCAATTGATGCTTTAAACAATAATAAAAGCAAATAAATTTTAAAAAATTATTTTTTAATTAATATTTTGCAGTAATATTCAACAAACTCTAATTAAAAACTTACTTTGAAACATTCAGCTAACTATTATTTTCATAATTGCTTGGTCATATGTAAATTGTATTTAAAATGGTAACAATATTGTTTTAATTATTATAGATTTACAAAATGAAATAGCTAGAGAGTATATTTTCAACATATGTAATCAACAATATCCTATTTCATTTGAATCTTGGTTAAAACCAAAGTATGTATTACAATGCTTTATTATTTTTTTATTTATTTATTTTTGTTAATGTATTTTATTTATATTTTAAGGAAAAGAAAAAAATGGGGTAAAGTTGGAGAAGGTGTATTTGGAGAGGTATTTAGCTATTCAGATAAAAAAAGTAATACAGTAGTTAAAATTATCCCCATTGAAGGGAAAGATTATATTAACAGTGAAAAACAAAAAATGTTTTATGAAGTTTATACTGAAATTTTAATTGCATCCGAGTTAAATAAATTGTTTAACAAAAATGGCTGGAATCAATCTGATTCATTTTGTAGACTCAAAAATATTTCATGTGTTCAAGGAAAGTATCCAACACATTTGATTGACCTCTGGGAACAGTATAATAATGAAAAAGGTAAGTGTAATTAAAAATTATAGTTTGTTAATCTTAAATTTTAATGGCCCATGCATGTTTTACATTAATTAATCATTGTACATTTATAAATTAAGCAACTATACACACAATTTTTGTATACAAATAGGTTCAGATAATGATAATCCTCACATACTCCCTGATAACCAAGTATATATAGTATTAGAAATGGTAAACGGTGGCATTGATGTTGAAAGTTATATATTCAATTCAGCCTACCAATCGTTATTTGCATTTTTACAAGTAAGTTGCAAATAAATAATTTAGGAAGTTTATTTAATTTTTTTATTGGAGATTTTTATGTTTATTGATCTTAATCAAAATTATAGATATGTTAACATTTATAAATTAAAATATTTCAGATTGTGTTTGGATTAGCTGTAGCAGAGCAGCAATATAATTTTGAGCATAGAGATTTGCACATAGGTAATATTCTTGTTAAAAGAATTGCTGTTAGTCAACGAATTTCATTCAAATTGGATGGTGATATATTCACCATACCTTCTCATGGTGTTAAGGTATTTGTTAAATAAACAATAACGTATCTAAATTTTAAAATTCACAATTGTCTATTTTATTATTTTTAGTACTTAATATTAAATATTTTATAATCAATGATAATATTATATTTGTACTATAAATATATATGAAGTTAGTTTCATTCTAACATCTAACTATATTTTAATTTTATAAGTTTCTTATGTTTTTTTTATAATATCTTTAAACTATGAATTTTAACTTTTTTATTATCATCAGGATTTTATAGTCTTAATGAACTATTACCTACAAAGTAATTAGTATTTTGATTTACTCAAAGATATTTTATAACTATAATATTGAAATTATTGGTACTACTATTTTTAAAAATTTATAAATGTATTTGTTTATTATTCAAACACATGAATTATTGTAATTCATTTAAAATTATATCACTAGATTTTAGTATCATTTCCACATAAAAAAACTAAATGTCTTGATAATGTTCTTTTTTTTAAAGGTTACAATAATTGATTTTACTTTAAGTAGAATAACTCATTACAATAAATCTGTTTACAATGATCTCGCTGAAGATACTGAATTGTTTACTTCTGATGGTGACTATCAATTTGAAATATATCGTTTGATGCAAAAAGAAACTAAGTAAGTAACTATGAGCAGCAGCTGATTGGTTAAAAATTACTGTATGACCAGCCCACCATCCAATAATAATAATACTCCATAAAAGTCTCCTTTATTCATTGATTAAATGCTCATAACTGTTTACATCACATTTACACTAGATTTTTATCACAATCTTACAATTAAATACAATATACTTAAATACATTATTTATAAAAAATAATTTTTAATCCAAGTACATCGGCCCAGTGTTATAATACAACTACCGGCCCACCGGGAATTTTTCTGGTATCCCAGTGGGCCAATCTGCTGCTGGCTATAAGTATATGTTTAATAAGAGCAACCTATCGAATTTGTTATTAGTTTTTAATGTTAATTAAATTACTTTTGTTTAGTGATCAATGGGCATTATATAAACCAAAAACGAATATCTATTGGTTACATTACGTGTTGGATAAAATGCTAGAAACCGTGCATTATAAAAGAACAACAACAGCTGTACATAACTCTGGATTAAAACATTTGCAAAAATTGAAAAATTCAATATTATTGTATGATAGTGCAAAAACTTTTGCTAAAAGTGATTTGGTATCAGATTTAATTGCATAATAAATTTTTATTGTTACATCTTTTAAATATTTATTTAAACCAAGTTTTATGTTATAAATATGTTGGTAGATATGCCATAAATTTAAATAGATTAGTGTAAGAAATTTTTGTGCTTTTAATTTTATATTTTTTGCTTAAATTTGAATTGATATATTTTATTATATTTACTTACATACCTTTTTGAAGACTGAAAATTATAAATAATTATTTTATTAATATATTCAATTATTTTCTTGTAATTTTTTTGTCTTTGTGTACTTGTTTTTTTTTATTTCTTATTATTTATAGTGTGTAACAGGCGCAAATGTGGAGGTGGGGATTTAGGGGTGACTGATTACTAATGATCTGGAGTTTACAGACGTGTTTAAACATTGTATACTGATTTTGATCTAAAATGAAATCGTCCAGCAGTTCAGTTCAAACATGAAATACTGAACTATATGTCTTGGTGTCAATGCCTCAATGTTGCAAATCTGCAAAATTTTCAGAGGGGCTCAGAACATTTGGGTAAAATGCACATTGTTATCAATATATCTGATCAAGGAAGGTTTTATTTCCGTCATGGGCAGCTAAAATCAAGCCCTTCATCCTATTTTAACAAGGCGTCATTGCGCAACAGTGTTGAGCTATCTTGTCACCGTCGTGTGAGTATACGAATTTTAATAGTAACAACCAGGGCGTGATGATTGATTTCAATATAAAATGCATTTTCTTTTCTAAATCCTTACGCAATGCTCAGTTTGGCAAAAATATGTTTCAAGTGGTGTAGATTCATACAATTCAATTTTTATTTTGCATTTTTTTTTTTTTTTTACTTTATAGCGTTTAGAAACGATATAAAATAAAATTCGCATCGCCTTACCGACCTAGTGGACGTTAAACTTTAGGTTAGTCTAACGTGGCAGAGCTGCTGCGAATTTGACGATCACCTACAGCAGCGGTTCCAAGAACCTTCTTCGTGCGTTGACGAGACGTTATCCAAATTTTTCATGCGACTTTTTCGAAAACAACGTTCGGCGCGGGGGAACGAGCCACCGACTCGATTTTAGTCCACACGATGATAGAAAAACGCGATAGTTGCTATCGTGAAAGCTGCTATCATGTGAGTGTCATCTTGTAAACTGGTCGATAGTGACTATCGGACTATGGAGAAAGCTACTCTCGCACTATCATGCATGCATGATAGTTGAGAGTTACTATCATCGTGTGGACCCAGTTTAAGTTGTGTTGATTACATTTAATTTAATAATCAACCGTTTCTTTTTACCGTAACATCGTAGGCGCAACTAGGGTAAAAAATTTGGGGGGGGATGGTACAGCCCTCCTACCAAAACTTAAAATAACCTGTTGATTACTCCTACTCTTATATACCATGCTAATATATTTTAAATTCTGAGCCAAGTTGGATTTACTGCAATGTGTCTTTTTTTTTTTTTTTTGTAAGTGACACTATTGTATGCTGTATGCAGTTCGCCATGTATAACATGGAATAACTAGGGGGGGGGGGGGAGGCTGAATCTTGGTCCGGCGGAGGGGCCATAGTTGCGCCTATGCGTAACATCAATACAACCGTATTGAGCTGCAAAGTCGTGCGCAGTATTGACGGGGAAAATCCGCAAGTAGGTAATCCGCGTCGACTTTCTAAAACCTGTACCACGCGCGATAACCCCGACGTCAATCGAACGGCCTGCACGGTCGCAAAACATAGCAGCGCAGGTGATAATCTATCGGAGTACTAGATCGGTCTTTTCACTAGTCGTGTACAAGTTGATTCCGTTTGTCCGACTGCGGTGAATTATGATGCGTGAAATTACTTATATTATCACATTACCAGTGTGCTTTTTTATTATTATTATTTTTTTTTTTATATATGAATATTTTAATTTGATTAGGTATTGAAAACGTTTTGAACATTAACGTGCGATGATGTTTACAGACAAACTTTTATTCATGATCACTGGTACCTACACGGTTTGATCGTATAGTCGCGTTGACATAGGCGTAGGATGGTCAAATATATTGGGGGGGGGGACTGCAAAAACAACAATAATAATAATAATAAAAAAAAAAAAAAAACACTAAACTAAATGAAAATAAGGCTACTCGACGAAATGAGCAAAAATAATGTAAATAATTCTACGCCTATGCGCGTTGATAAATCCCATTTAGCCGTTGTTTTATCGGTTGCCGAAAGGCTGCATCCAATTTTACGAGATCAAAAAACGCGCGAATCCTTTACTATTTGAAATATTTTGTTCAGTAAATTATTAATATAAACTCTATTATATTTGATTTCAACCATATATAATATATAATTAAGGACGCCCATATGGTGGGGCATGGGAGGGACGTTGCCCCCCTTGGAAAATGTCAAAAATTTTGTAAAATTGTTAACTATGATAAGAATATATTTATTTAAATAGAATTTAAAAATTTAATTTAATATATGAAAATCTATAATTTGTTTATGAAAAATCTATTTATTTAGTTTGGAAAATCAGGTTATCAGCTATAAATAACAATACCCTTTTTCGTTTCTATTCTATGGATAATTATCAATTCTTAAAATATTGTGTATTTTCAGAAATACGATATGTATATATGCGTGCGTGCGTGTGTGTGTGTGTGTACACCACCTTAATATTTATATAATATTTGTAAATTAATATTTTAATAAATGTTTCAAGTGTCCAATTTACATTACTAATTAAATGAAAATGTCAATAAATCACTTTTATGGTAAATTGGTTTAATAATTATTATTTTATAGTCTTCCAGTTTGATATATATAATGTAATCGTATAATGTAAAATTGTAAGCCCCTTCCTATATCATAAGTCATTCTTATTTATGAATAGATTGATAAATTAAAATGTTGTTTCCCCTTGAGAATTTTCCTATGGGCGCCCTTGTATATAATATATTATATTATTGAATGAATATATATATATATATATGTAAGCCACAAAACAGTGCAGTTCATTATTCTTTCGTCGTGTGTTTACCCTGACACTTAAGTGTTGGTATGAACTATAAATACTTGATTATAATAACTCGATATTTTTGAGTCCCTACCACTGTACTCTATGGAAATGGTAACTTTAAAGACAGGATTGGTTTTGTAATTTTAAGACTCATTTTTCGGCGTAAAACATATTTATAAAAATATTATATAATGTGTAAAATTAAAAGAAATATACAACTCTGTAACCAGACTTGCATTCGAGGACGCTGCTCTAGTTCCTATCAAAAAATATTACAATTGTGCTTGTGTAATTTCACATGTTATTCGTATTCTTTATTATTTAGTTGAATTATATTCTATTTATTAATTATACTATTATTTTTTTTTAATTGTTAAAATAAGAATGCATGCAAATACCTGGACATGCACAATAGTCAAATGTGATGAAATGCAATGCAGGAAAAGCAACAAAATAACTGAGAAAGGATTCCATCAAGTGATGTAAACCTCTCATATAATTATTTTCCTGCATTTGATTATTCGATTATCAATAAAATTAATATGACGAACTACAGGAACAAAAATTATGATTAGAGATGTTATATTGCTGTGTAGAACAGAGATAATAAAATAAAAATTGCCCTGTACCTACGGATTAAAATAAGAGAATATTCTTATGACAATATGCATCAGGTCACGCAACCACGAGTGAAAATTCAAAATACCAGTCTAAAATTGGATCGAAATCAAAAAGGTTGATAAGGATGTGCGTCGCCGGCCGTCATCATTCGTAATTCGTATCGCAGTTACTACTTACTATTGTACCTACTTGGTACTTATGCGTTATGATCGTATTATTCGTCAATCGTATCTCGTTTTAGCTTCGTACTTGCTTTGTCGAAAATTAATCAATAAGAAACGCATAGTTTTTGATTTATAATTTGTTAATTACAAACATTGTGCGTATCATATTATTACACATTTACGTAGTGAAAATTATTGATCTATTAAAAAAAAAACATCTTTAGATCTCAAAAGTTCTTTAGAATGAATAAAGAAAACAGCCAAGGTGAGTTTATGATTTTTGATTTTCTAACGGTAATCCATAATTTGTTTATGTTGTTCGTTTTACTGCTAATTTTTCAACGAATTTTATTTACCATAATAATTATTTTTTTTAACACTTATTGTGTTAAATATTAACTCCGTAGTCCGAACACTAATAACTGAAATACTTGTGTTTTTTTTTTGAAATAATTTTTATTGTTTTATAGTAAAAATGTTAACGTATCCAATTTTTGATTATGTATCTAAATTTATTTGAATACTCAACCCCACATTAGTGTATAATATAATAATAATGCATAATAATATGTTCCATTGTTCAGAAAATAATGAGTTATGGTCGCGTAGGAAATTTCATATTTATGTTTCTTTTCGTGAAGAACTTATGGTATATTTCTGTTCGTGTATTTAGGTCATAAAAACGTACAATTTAGCAAATCTGCGTTCAGTAAAATCGATGTTGTGACATTAACTTTAATATCAGATTAAACCGACCAATCATCACATTTTAAGGAAATAATGGTATCTGTGCGATGATTTGGATTTCTTACGATATTTTACGCCGTGTCTTAAGGTGCGTTTACATTACGGCCGCGAACGCGAATGAACGCCAACGAATGCGAATGAACATGAACGAACGCGAATTCGGTAAAGATTCGGCCCCGCCGTGCAGACTATTCGTGAACGCGATTTTGCGAGCTTGCGCATTATTTCACGTGATCGGGGGGCATATTAGCATTCTGGGGTCGGTCTCGGTACCGGTTATCATTTTAGCTTTCTGATTGGTCGTTTGATTTTGCCACGCTTTTTAAAAACTGTTATCTGGTATTATGTGTTATTTAATATTATCACATTGCAATGCATATTTACTATTTTTTTTTTTTTTATAATGTGTGAATAAAATTAATCTTTAGTTTTTTAAGTAAAATATAATGAGTCGAAAAGTTTCTTAAAATGTTTAAATTAGTGGAATTTGATGATGATTCATTTCATTCTAAAATTTTTTCACACACCAGCTTGTAATAGTATTTTTACCATGAATACTAATCCAGTTACAAATATCTTGTTCGGAAAACATATTAGAATAAAATGAATTATTATCAAATTCCATTAATTTAAACATTTTAAAATACTTTTTGACTTTTAATATTTTATTTAAAAAGCTATCTAAAACAATTCAAAAGTAAAAACCCTTTTGAAGATTATTTATATTCATACTTTATAATAGTATCATAAATAATAAATAGGCATTGCAATTTGATAATATTAAATAACACATAATCCTAGATAACGAGGTTATAGGTAACAGTTTTTAAAAAGCGCGGCCAAACCAAACGACCAATCAGAAAGCTAAAATGATAACCGGTGCCGAGACCGACCCCAGAATGCTAATATGCGATCGGGAGGTGTCATGGTTGCTTGCGATAGGCAAACGTATTTCATCCTTTGAGGGCACCGTTTCCCACGCTTTACCTAATAAAAGTCGATTTCGATGATTTGAATGTTTCATGTTGTACATGGTGCAGCAGAAAAACCTCCCAGAACTGTGAAACTTATAAATACGAAACCAAGGTCAATTATAAAAAGTGTTGAAAACGATGTTAATACATCTGGCTTTTGAGGTAGCCTCAGAGGAATGAATCGCATGGGCTCAATTCTGGTGAACTCAATGTCACCACGTTAAAGAGACAATGCTGGTACGTCAATGTATTACAAATAAGGACTACCGCTTAAGTAACGTAATTTTTAAAAATAGTTAAAATAAAATGGTGTATGTGGAGTTCATAAACAAAACATTTCTTTTTATATTTGATTTGGTTTGGTATTTATAAGTTTCACAAATCGGGGAAGTTTTTCGGGGGCATTATGTACAACATGAAAGATTCAAATTATCGAAATTGACTTCTATTAGATAAAGTGTGAGAATCACCTTGGACACGGCATTAATTTCTAAGTGAATAATGAGCATTATTAAGTTGTAATATTATACATCATCGTAACTCGCTTAAAAATAAAAATATCGTAAAAGCTATGTCATCGCACTGATGATGTTTTCCCCATTAAGTTTACTCTAATAAAAAAGCTAACTATACAAAATTGGTACTACTGAATACAAATTTGCCATATTGTACATTTGCTACGGGGAAAACACATGCGGATGTCATCCGCTAATGATAAATCCATTGATATGATACATATGCAGTTAAAAAATGATTTAAAATAAAATAATAGTTAATACAATAGTAGACGCATAGGTATTATAGATTAGAATCATGTACCGTAGCCCTTACTAATCGGCGTTTGTGGATGAAAATGTTTCACGCGATCGGATGAAATGAATTGATAAAAAAGATGTGTACAAATGCGACATAGAGCTAATACCTTAGATCGGATAGATCTGTTGAAGTATTTAATACGTCGCATGCTGAAAGGGATTGTTTCTTTGACATATTCTATGAATGACATAAACGAATTAAACGTACTAAACCGATTAGCGAAGAATAGCGGCGGGACGAGTAAATATCTCATTTTTACACGGTTTCGGACTTTATGTGTCTGTTGACCTTCCGTTGGTCCTACCTAGCAAAAAGTCCTGTTGCGTCCTCCGCTTTATATTTCGTCCTTGTTGAATGCTTTCGTACAGCTTGCGCAGCGGGTCATCCTTTCCGTACATCTTTTCTGCCCCGCTTTTTTCAATCTGACTGTTGTGAACCCGCTGAAACAAACGGTCTCATTACTACTAGATACGGTGCGTGCCAGTGACGTAACTTGTAATAAATATTGTTGGGACGGTGGAGGAGGAGACATTGATTTTTATAAACCAAACATGTAAATTTACAGTACTCGAGATCCTGTGCTAAATAAGGTCTAAAACTGCCTGAATCATCTTTATTTTGCGAAACTGATAAATTTTCTTCTTTGTCTATTACAAATGCGACACGTGCGACTTACACTTGAAGAAAGATACTAAAAATATATGACCAGAAATTAAATGGTGAGGAGGAGCAGGAGACAAGGGAAATATGGCATGATTTATTGTTAGCAGTAATGTCTTAAATATTGAAACTGAGAAGAAAAATAAATTAATGAGTAATATGACTATAGTATAACACGTATTTTGGCAACACATTATTATTTTACCATTAGATCAGTGTTCAACATTTTAAATTATCGCTGATGTGATTTTTAAAAATATTTTAAAATTAAAAATTAAAATCAAAACTTATAACAGAGGGTTAATCTCCTATGAACATATTAAGAAAATAAAAAAAACGGGACAGTTGTTACTTTCCCAAAAAAAAAAACCCTCATCTATTTATATTCACACATATGGACACAAATCTCGAGAGTTAAAGTCCAAATTTCTATCATATAATAACTATTTGTTTTTGTTGTACCCTATTTAGTAAAATAATTTAAATAATAAAATACTTTCTTTTAATTATTCATCAAACAACACAACGTAGCATTTCAAAACTATTATAGTTTTTAAATAATACGGAAATAACGGGATTAAAACAGGATAAAAATCGTCTAATCCGAAGTTTGTCGGGACAACGGGACGTGATGATCAAAAATTTTAAATGGGACGTTTGATCACCCTGACAACCCCACATAGTTAACCTCGGATTATGAATACGGTGTACGAAGTAATAATATTATTAAAATCGCAATTTTCTCATACTTTGTTCGTGCATGTCGAGTGCACTGCATTCAGTGTCTCGATCTTATATTTTTGATTCTTCAATTGACACGAACTATATTTCGTTGTACTTTTCTTTAAAATCGGAGTTTTCGATTTTACTTCAATATCGGAGTAGATGACTGATTTCGATGTTTTCGTGAACTCCTTTGGTTTGTCGGTCTTTATCTGTTTCGCTTTGAGCTCTTGAATATAATTCGTCAATTCGTCCACCTTTTTACTTTGAATATCAATTTTTTCGCTGTAAAAAAACAATCCACTCGATATTACACCCGTGGGAAATAACCAAACGCATTTACAGTATTATCTAATCGTTAAAACTCACACTAGAATTTTTATTTGATCTTTATACTTCATCTGTTCGTCGCACGTGTTATGTTTTTGTAATTCCAACAACGCTTTTTGGTCGTCTAATTGTTTTTTAATTTCTATGCAATTGTTACGTTCGGAATTGATTATGTCGTTCTTCTGTCGTATCACGCTTTTAAACTCTTCCGACAAGTCCACGAACTGACGATCTACAACACGGTGCATACAAATTACGTTACAAGAATACTTTTACAATTTATCGGACGGATATTATTTCGACGCGCGTAAAACAATAATACAACACCTTTCATCTTGATGTTTAACTTGTATTCGTTCACTTTGTTTTTCTCGTGCGTTTTATTCTTGGCCATCTTCTTTTCCAGCGCCGCTATTATCTGTTGATAATCTTGTTCTTTGTCCCTGTAGCGCTCCTTCGTCTCATCCAATTCGCTTTGCAGTTCTTGTATTTTCTCTCTCTTCGAGTAGTTCAATATGCAGTCGTGATCCGTCGATCCCACCGAGCAAGAGCACACGGATACGTCGTCGGACGGACCCGCGTCAGCCTGACCTAAATGGAATTGCGTCGAAGTCAAGTCCGTCTGCAGTGCCACGTCGACCGATTCCGCTTTGCTCAATTTTTCCAAGCGCAAGTTCAACTCGGCGTTTTCGCTTTTCAAGCTTTTGAGTTTTTTCGCCACGTTGAACACGCAATTCGTAGTGTCCTGTTGCTGTTTTTCCACGCGTTGCTGCAGCTTTTTCCGTTCCGTCGACGACTGGTCCAGCTCGTGTTCGAGCCGGGCGACCGTGTACTTCAAATCTTCCATGACGATCTTGTCCTCGATGGACTTTTCCATGGATAGCTGATAGTCGCGTCGCAACAGCTCCAGCTGCCTGTTGGTGGCGTCCAAGTCGCACGTCAGACGGTCCCCGGCCTCGCTCCGAGCGTCCAGAAGTTCTCGCGACCGAACCAGCTCCGCCCTGGCGTGTTCCAGTTCGGCCGTCAAAGCGTTCGTCTGGTCGCTGGTCCGGCTCACCTTATCCTCCAGCTCACGTTTGTCTGCCGTGATCCGGCACAGCTGTCTCAGCGCGACCGTCAGGTCGTTCGTCCGCTTGCGGAGCTCCGCCGTGACGGCGTTCACTTTCGACTTCAGACCAACGATGCACCTCCGTTGGTTGTGCACCTCGTCCGTCTGGTAGGCTAGTTCGCTTTTCAGCGCAGACACCTGTGACGTGTGGTTCAGATACTTCTCCTTGTCGTCTTCGATTCGCGCACGGTACTCGTCCACTATCTGCCGACGACGGATCGCCGACGCGGTCCCGACCGAAAGCCTATCCTTCGGGCCGTCGTATTCGTCGTCGTACCCGTTCATGTCGGTTTCGTACCCGTGAAAATGTGTGCTGCTCGACACCGCTGCCGAGTCCATGCTCTCGGAATCGCTGCAGAACACATGTCCCCTTGCGCCGATCGGTCCGTCCTCCTGCATAACAAACACACGGTACACATCACAACATTACCGGTTTGAACGATATTTCGACGGAACGCGAACGGTTCACTCCTCATTTTTAAACGAATCACGTGTGCTCGGTGCAGTCAAATACGATGCTTTTGAAAATTGATTTGAACGTGAAATAGAAACGACATTCAACCTCCCCCCCGTTTTTTCCCTGAGCATGATCCTACGGTATTCGTTTGTGCGTTATTTAATTTTATTACAGACATTTTCGTAGTAAACACAATGATAAACCTCTTTATATATTATCTATAAGAACCTGAAATGTGCCGTCGTCGTACTCTTCGTTCCTTTTAGGCTCTTTGTCCATTTTAGATTCCTCGTCTAGTCCATTGTTGCAAACGTTTTCCGTCATTCTGTTCCCATTAGCGAACAATACATTTTTGATCAAATCCATTTTACTAATAGAAAAACAAGCGCATTAATTTATTATATTAATTTATTATGGTTCGTCATGTAAATTACCCGAATGTTATTGCTTTTGAAATTTTAATATTTAAAACTAGTTAATTTTTTTTAACGATATTTCGTTTCTAAATGAATTGAAAGATATTGTAAATGGTGGTATTGAAAACATAAATCGTTGCTATGTTATAACAATATTTGTTCACTTTATTTTATCAGTATTTTATTTAAGCCAGCATATGAACAAGGGATACAAGTCTATATTATAATTGGTAGATAATTTGGGTGTTTGAATACTATTTGCGCTGTACAATTTTACCATAAACTGTTGGATACGTAATAATACGTATTTTAGTGGAAATATTTCGATAATAATACGTATACGTAAAGCATATTCTTTCATAGGTGAATAAATAGTCAATTTATATTTATATAATTTATTAAATCGAGTAAGTCGTGATGGAGCAGAATAAAACGTACTGTTTGAATCCGATCACCTACTGTTTAGCTTACCGGACGGATGTCCGTCTCGAGAGAAGAAATCCCCTTTCCTCAACCAATCGTAAACATTTTCACATGCCTCACTACTCAACCGTTCCGAAAATAAGCTATGATTCATTGTAGTTGACGATAAAAAAAAAAATAATAAAAATATTTGTATAATTTCGATGTCGTTGTGGATGAACGGGAAAGGTGGCTGTGTTTCGCCGATTTTATTTTTCTAATGGAACGAAATTCTTTCAACTATTATACATAACATCCAAGAGTATAATATAAATTAATTGGTTTCAGTAATAAACCTTGTTCAGGTGATGCAAAAAAAAAAAAAAGAAATGTAAATAAAAAAACGCACTTGAAACAAATTTAAATATATAAAAACATGATATATATATATATATATATATATATATATATATATATATATATATAATTTTACCGCGTAAAACTGGGTCTCTTCTGATAATGATACTGGAATAATATATTACACGAAAATTATATGATGATCGTTATATATTTTTTACCATAGAATATCGATACCTGTATAATAGATATCGTGGGTCTAGAGCATTGGTTCCCAAACTGTGAGGCGTAAGGCAAATATTTATATCGTATATTACACTATCCTATATTTATTTTTAGATCGATAGTAATTTGCTTTTATTAAAATAATAAAAAAATTTGGTTTTATTTATTCATGAGATGCGCGATTACATTTTTGTATTTGATCCAAAAAAGTTTGGGAGCTGCTGGTCTAGAGGATTTACAATCGTTTATTCATTTCCAGGGATGCTGTGCCATGTTTTGTTTTCGATCGTCGTATGTTTTTGTTCGGCTGGAGAGCCAGTGGAGACAACTTATGAATACACCTTGCAGCGCGTGTACTGCCCAACGGTCGGTGTAGGTTGGTACCTCAGGTAGAAGGATGACGATGTCCTTTTCAGTACGGATCGCTCGGGAAGAAAAAGGCCAATGTTCAGACATCTCGAACACATGTGCTTGAAGACTAACCTAACCTTATCCGCTTGTGTCTTTTAGCTATTACTGTCCCGCTTACACGTAAAACGAATGACCGCTGTATTCCGTAATCTAACCACTAATATTCGTATTCAACTGTTATAGGGAAATGGAAGAAAAAACAGAAATTGAGAAAGAGTTCGCTCATTACGTTTCTGAATGTTTGAATCCGTTTGAAGAAATCGACGCGAAAAAAATTCTTAAAGAAAGATGCATGCAAAACCTGGAAAGCTCTGAACCACTTGATGGAGATGAAGATGTTGCTATTAAGACTGTTACTATGGACATAGCTAAACCAATTCCTTTGCTAGAGGATATAAATTATACCAAACCGGATTCTACGCGCAATACGGAGATGCTATGTGTTAAAGAATATTACAGAATTAGGAGAAACGAATATATTAGACTGCAATCGTTGTATTCATACGAATTCAGGTAAAAATTTATAAATTACAAATATTTAATCTCAAACCAAAAATAACGATAAAATAATTATTGTTTTTAGATATTTATTATGTTCGTATAAATTTCGTAAACGGGAATATTTATTAAATAAAAAGTCTGATCATGATTCGTATGGACCAATAAAAAATTCAAAATGGAAAAGTAAAGAAGAATATGAAAAATATCGTGAGCTCAAGCTATTAAACTACTATAATAAAGTTACTACAGGACAAGAGGCGGTGTTATTTAAAAACGCTATGGAAAAAAGACAAAAAGCAACTTTATTATTGAACAAAAAAAAAAAGTCGCGTTTTTCATCGCGTTGTAAATTTTCAGAAATGGGTGTAAGGTGCACAGAAAAACTTTTATCTCCTAGTAGATTCTGCTTCAAACATATACTCAGCGATACCGAACAATGTTTGTTCAGAGCTTGCAGTGTTGTTCAAAGCAATAATATTTGTCATGAGCCAATTGTTAATTTGGGTTCCAATTGTACATGTGTTTTACATGAAAAAATTCCGATGCTCCGAGACTAATAATACATTTATTTAAAATCATTAAGAAATAAGTTCTATTTCAGGTAATTTTACAATTTACATTTTTATTACATTTACATAATTTCTCTATTTAATATTATATTTTTAAAATGCTGATTTTCATTGTTCCAACTAAAATTTATAATTTTTATTCATATTTAAATAACAAATTGTTTAAAGGTTATGATACTTATATTAATTGACAGAGTTAATGTTTATTTATACTATATATTAAATTAGTTTATAATATTAATTATTTACTTATTATTTTTATTTACATTTTTAATAATTTAGAAATTTCGATTGTTCGATATGATACTAGTATCCATTGCATATTAAATAAATATTATTATAGTTTTATTCTCAAATAGATATTTCTGATTTGCTATAAAATAAAAATTTTAAAACAAATTTAACAAATATTAATAAACATACATTACTTAGTTTAGAATATAATATAATATAATAATTTTATTTAAAAAGAAAATCTGTTTTGCTTTAAATTATTATCAATATTTTAGTAATTAAAATTATAAAATTGATAACCATTTAATATCACTTAATAACAAATTGTTATTTATTTTAGATATCGGTAATATAAATTTTTTTAACTTAAATTTTAAACTTCAATCAAGTTTAAACTAGAATCCTACAGAAAATATTAAAATATGTATTCATATAAATCTTGAGCGGATATTAAATAGATGTAATTCATTGTATTTGAAATAGCATTAAGTATGATGCCTGTTCTGAGGGTTAGTTAAAAATTGTAATTAATGTTATATTATCTGTTCTATTTGTATGCAATGACTTATAATTAGATTTAAAGGAACATTTTTAGTGAACATTTGTTTATTTTATATATTATTACTTGTTGCATAATGTCAGAATATTAGTTCTAATTATCTTAAAATAAAATTCGACAAAGATAAAATAATAGTGACATAATTAAGATTAAAAAAAAAAAATTATTCATTGTAGATATTGGTTAAAATAATTAATGTTTCTACTTCTAAACTTCAATTATCTTTAACGTTAAATTTTGCAATTTTGTAAATCAATGAAAATGGAAACAATTTTATTTCAATTAACGTTGAGCTCAAATAATTTAATTTTAATTTTGTAGTTTTATTAAAAAAAAAGAATAATTGAAAACAATGGATACTTAAAGTATTTATATTAATAAATATTTTTATTTAATAATATTATATAAATTTACTATCAATATTATTATCAAATAAACCATATGACTACTCTTGTATTTTCGTGCTACCAATGTTATGACGCAGAACACAGAAGAGGATTGGCAATATTTTTCATACAGATTATATATTTAAGGAAAGGATTCTGTACTACAGTTTGTATCTACATTTCATGCAAGTATAAAATAATAAATTACATTTGTATTTGAAATATTGTAAAATATTGCGAATCATTAATAACAACATATTTAATGCAAATTAGTTTTTGTTTTTATTATGAAGCTAATACTTGTCTTAATATATATCTACCTACTATATAGTATAAATACCAAAAAATATATAATGCTAAAGGATTTTACCATTAATTACAATCTTGTATTATACAATTTTAAAAAATTAATAAGTCCCAATGAAAGTTATATAATAATTTATTTTCATTATTTATCTAATTAAACATTTTTGCAATTATTAAAAAAAAAAAGTCTAAATATTTGTATTAAATTGTTTTTATAAACATTAAGTTTATTTATTTTCCACACTAAACAAACAAAGTACATACAATTGAATCGCTTATTACAGAAACCCCTTAAGTCCAGAAATTTAAACTTTTGAGAAATTAATAAAAACTTCTCATTTCCATAAAAGCTGATAAATGTATATAAATTTGTCATTCCTGAAAGTAGAGGAAGGTTTTATATATAACCCTGAATTGTAATATACTCACCAAGGTTGAAGGTTAGAGTTAATATAATATATGGGATAATTTAAACCGTTAACTTCTGCAGTTATGGTGTTTCTGCAATAAAATATATTTACAACACTAGTTTTCTAGTTTTAGTTTCTGATTTTTTTCTATACAATCAATTATGATGATATATTTAGTTAATTTGTGTAAGGGTTTTCTGATATTTATGAAATTGTATTTTTTTTGCATTAATAATGTTAAAGCTAACCGAAATACAAATTTGATTCATGTCATATTATTAATTGATAACGGAATCCCTATTGTTTTTCGTTTGTAAAATTAAGCAGATTTCATCTTTAGACTTATATAAGTAATTGTGAAGTAAAAATAATAACAATTTACAAATTATTGCAAAAGAAACATTATTCTTCTGAAGATCCCTTATGATATAAAATGTATAATATATGACCATAAACAAATAATTTTAATTTCAAATGATTTTCAATGGCAATGGTTTATTTTAATAGTTTTAACTATAATAACTTATAGAGTTGTTTAATTAATTGTTACCTGTTCTTTTAAAATCGACCAAACGATAAATATTAGTTATAGGTGTCATAAATGTATTAAATGTTTTTTGTTTTTTTATCTGATTATTGCAATAATCATTATACAGTAAAACGCATGCAGATTAGAGGTTAATGCGTTCATGTATACACACGATCATACATATTTATGTAAGCTAGAATAGTGCCGGATTAATTCCTTCCCGGGCTTTAAGCATATAAGTGAGACAGGCCTAATTGGCCATAATGAGTTTTACTCTTTAAAAAGTATACGCCTTTCCTAACCGTGCTTCTGAACTCCAAATTGAATAATAATTTTTATTTTTCGTAATTTTATATTTGAATATAAATAATATTAAATACATAACCGTATCAAAAACATTTTTAAATCATGGGTTATTTGTATTTCAGCTAATACTCTTATTGTAAACACGAGGTACAGATTGTGTATACAAGGCCGTAACTGGAAAAAAATTTCGAGGGGGGGGGCGTCTAACATTATTATTTAATACAGTTTATAGTTAATAAACTATATTCACCCCTAAAATGTTTCTACTTTTGAAAATTTCGGGGGGTCCGGACCCCTGGACCCTCCCTCCAATTACGGTCTTGTGTGTATTAATAATAAAGGAAAAAAAATCATGGGTTAATACTAAAATATGTGTATACTCGTTATAAAATGAATCACTATCATAAAATCTGGATGTCGTCTGATCATTTTTGTCGGCCGAGTTTTGTTGCGATACACGGTCGAATCGGGTCTAGTCGGACCGTCGACTTGGTACGCCAATTAGCAAATTTTAAATTTTCTCAATAAAAAAAAAAAAAAAACATTTCTATGGACCGAATTTCGTTAATATTGGCTTATAGGACAACCGGCACTGCCGACGGGCTATAACACGCCGATTCGCATACAAGTAAAAACTTCACGATCGCATTCTAATCGGAAAAAACATTGAAAATAATACTGCTGATGATGGTTTTTCCGGTACTTATTTTATCCGAAACCGTTTGGCGGTTCAACGGGTACAGACGTTTACATAACGCTAATCATTAGTAACACTAACCACTTACCACTATACGTTAACGACCAGGTTAGTTGGTAGCCGGTCCGACGATTGCGAACACGGCGTTACGGGCAGGCAATTTAACCGTCGCACGCGGCCACGGGTTGTGCCAATGAGACTTGGATAAGTCGACGAACGATCGGTGTTCCGGCTTTTCTTTGGTTTTGAATTGGCCGCCCTCTACGACTGGGTGCGAAACTGATTAACCGACCGCCTGCACAGGTGAGGTTGGTCACACTAGCTGCTGCGTCGACGTCGCCTGCACACGCGATGTTGGTCACACTAGCTACAGCGTCGACGTCCGTTACCGGCAGCGGCACGCGGGCACCGTTCGCTCCCTTGCTCATCGTCTTCCCGACCGTACGTCCGTCGCGTCACGCACGTTCTTTGTGCTGTTATCCGCCATTGTTCGGCGTACGAAATCGCCGGATCCGACCAACGTCGTACACGTTGATTGTACGCGCCGATCCGCCGTACCCGTTCGACCAAACGAGGTGTACTCGGCCAACGCTCCGACCGATCCGTCGAACCACCAGGTCTGATCAGAACATATTTCAATTAATTTTTACTTGGTGGCACTGAAATAAAATTGTGCTACCCACCGTAGTTCGTAGACGTGGTGTCCTTCGGCAGAGGAACCGTACAGGGAAAATCAACTCGTGTCACTACGGTCGTTATGAGAATGTGTTGGTTAGATCACTCACCACTGGGTAGCTTTCGATTATAACTGTGGGGGGGGGGCGGCACTATTGCCACGTACTTATTACGTTAAAATACGCTTTGGGTCCGATCCAACCTCGACCGCGGCGAGCTACGATCGGTCACATTATTATTATAGTTTTGTATTTGAAACATACGTATTGTTCCGTAATGTTAAAGAGTTGTTGTTTTGTTTAGTATAAGCCCTGACCGGTAGCCGGAGTGCAGCGAGTCGAACGGCATTGACAAGAGCGTTGTTCGCCAACAATCGGTAACCGGTGTGTTTTTGTGAAATCCTATCGTTTGAATTTTTTTCGCTTTTTTATATTTTGTATTTGACGGTTTTCAATTGATTTAATTTCACGTTGCGCAGTGCCGATTAAAAGTTGCAAACGTTTCACCGGGTGGCACTTCACCAAAACTGTCTATCGGAGGAACGTATAGGGAAAAATCAACCGCTCGGTCGTCGCGAGAATGTGTTGGTTAAGCCTCGATTACACTGAGCGAGTTTACACGCTAGGCACCGGCGAATTAACTCGATGCGACCAAAGTCGCTTAATATAATCAGCTTAGTCGCTACTAAGCCGCTTACTAAGCAGCTTACTCGCCGCGTGTTGAATACTCGCTACTCGCTCGCGATTAATGTTAACGGCCGGGCTACTTTAGTCGCTAGTCACTGACGTTTTTACACTCCAACGAGTGAAATCGCTAGTGTGCCAGCGATTAGTGACTGGTTAAAATGTCGGAAGCTGTAGTTAGCGCGGGGTTTATTGTGATTTCTCATTTATTGCGACAGGAGTTGGAGAAGAAAAGGTTATGGATCAGAAGTTGGATTTCAAGGCGAGAGAAATATGGTGCATCCAATACATTATTAAAACAACTAAAACACGAAGACTGCAGCCTATCAAAATATTCTAAGGATGAACGGGGCCCAGTTAAATAAATAATACGATTTAAAATATAAACGAAAACGAATGAGTTATCTATATCAATGACAACTTTCTTTTACGTGTATATCACATGAATGCGTGTACGCGACTAGCGAACGAGCGAGTTTAATCGCTCAATATAATCGAGGCTTTAGTGGCACGATCACCCGCCACTGATTAACATTCGATTTTACACTGGGCGAGGGGGGGGGGTGCATTAGCGCCACTCACTTTGTACGTTAAAATACGTTCCCACGTGTTCCTACGCGGACGGTACGGGGCCAGATACGGTCCTGGCGCCGGGGGTCGTTGTCTCGGAACGTTAACGCGCGGAACGGAATTCCGCCGTTGCTGTTGTCATTTTTTATTGTTGTTGTAATCCGACCGGGTGCACAAAAGACGCGACACGCAGCGCACGTAAGTCGCGGTCGCGTTGCGCAAACGATTTATTACCGTGAAACGCGTCGCGGGTATAATATACGTGTACGTATATTTTATGTACAAGCGTCCGCGCGTGATGTATAATAATATCAGGTTGTGGCGGAGAAAGAAAAAATAAATAAATTATTATTAATAATCCCGGAGAGAAATTTCGTAAACCACTTTCACCGGAGTGGCGCGTGTTTTACGCGTACACGTGGTGCGCTTGTTGCGGCGCGACGGGTTAGGAAAGCGTGGGGACGTTTTACGGACGTTTTACGATTCCTCCGGTCGTATCAGGTTCAGTGCGCCTCTTCCGCCCACACCGAGAACCATGCAGATCGCAGACTTATCGGTGAGTACCACATTATTTCGGCTGTTCCGCGGATGTATGGTAATAAATGCTTTGCGCGGTAATAGTGGCCAGCGATGGGCGACAGAGTCGATCTATCTTCTTTGTCACGCGCGATGAGTCCATCTCCACGAACAGATGTTTTGAAAGATCGATTCGAACCATTTGTTCTTATCCAATAATTTTTCGTTTTCCCGTTTAAATCGATTCACTAGCAGGTAACAGAGCAATAGCTGTGTAACGGTCACGTATCGTTGTGTTTTTCTCAAACAGTAGCGCACGTTTATTAATCGATTTCTATCCCATCGCGATTCAGACGTTTAGAACATTAAAGAGATTTTCGTTTTATTTTCATCCGGCAGCTCAACAATCATTGCGCGTAGCTATACTTGCGTCTGCCCGGTATCATGTGAGTTTGTGTGTCAGGCATGGTGTTGATCTTTAACTTTGTTGCGCTTAGCGAAATAACCGCTCTACGGTTTGTATATCGCTTAGAATAGTTGCATTGAACCACATATTTCGCGACGAATGTTATTCGTAGTACGTTTTCTAGACGAAACAATCGCGAAAACGATTTACTTTAGCTATTTTGTCTAAACGTCGATAGATGAAAACAACAATTACGGGTGTTTTCAAATTATATATTTATAAACAGAGTATGATTATACGTAATCGAGGAAACGAAAAAAAAAGAAAAAAACGACGTAACGTAATAAGTAAAACATTACAGAAATCTATTAATGATAATTAAAATTTCATGGTATACTCGAGGGGGGGGGGATCTGTGAATTATGATCTTGATCGGAAACGAAAACTGCAAGAGTATGATATTATAGCAATGTAATATATATTAATGATTAGAATTGTTTCCAGACAATCAAGTGTTTAAAGCGACGCGACACTGAATTACTCAAATATACGCGTAATATATTTTAATTGCTTCGATAGAAATCTGATTTGAATGAAATCGGTTTATGTTTAACACGTATCCGCGATAACCGATCCATGCCCCAGAGAGAGAGAGAGAGCAGCTGTGCCGGACCGGACGTGATGTTGTAATAATACAAGAAAGACTAGCAGTACCTACCTAAAGCAATAGTTGTCGTGTATATAAACGACATGTATACGTAATGATAATACTCGTTTGAAAATCATTTTTGGTGTAACGGACTTGATCGTCAAAACGTAATACATAATAATATTATTCATTAAAGTATAAATGACTTCCGTATTTTCGGCAAGGATCGTAGTGCGTGTTGAGAGATGGAAGGATTGCGTATAACTCCGAAAATCCGCTTTTTCTAGTCATGACTCGTAAGAAAATGTATAAGCCTTGGAGTGTACGCCAGGATGTATCCGAGTGCACTGTCTGACTGCGACGGCAACTGATTTAAGGAATCACGTTCCCGAGAATTAGCGAAGTACTTATATACCAGACTTATAGTAATGTAACTAATGAAAATTATTCATTCGTCGAAATCGTTTTATTCTGAGGAGTCGGCTCCAGCCGTTTACTACTCCGTCGCGCGGTATATTTATTTATGTTCTTTTTTTTTTTCGAATTTGTTCGTTTTGTTTTTTTATGCCCGGGGAAAATGTAACAATTACGCCCTATCGTAGACCAATAATCTCTTTCAAATACAATACTCTTCTCGCGAATTTTTTTCTAATAATTAATATATAATCATACTTATTGAGTTTTAATCTAATAACAGTATTTAACAAAGTTAAAAATACCAAATTAGTTGCTAATAATTATAATGACTACACCCTCTAAAATTTTCCGCCCTGGGATGAATATCGGTCTTCCACTAGTTCCGCCCCTGGACAGGAATGACTAATTGTTAACGACTTAGTCGGTAGTATCGCGTGACGAATAATTATTTATTATATAATTAGTTACTCTGTTTCGAAATTATTGTTTGACTAATATTTACTATCAACTAACTCTATTCGAGATGGGTAGAAATGACTAATTATTACTGCACTGCAGATGCTGTCGGCCGTGGTGCTGGTCGTTCTCGCAGGACTGTCGCAGCCGCGGATCGGCACGGATGCGGCGCCGTCCGAAGGGCTGACCCCTTTCGGTTTCCTCATGGCCAGGGCGTACGGCGAACCGGCCGAGCACCAGGTTATGCGGTTCATCGCGTTCAAGCCCAGCGATGGAGCCAAGTTCCGGGAAACGTTCGAGAAGAAACACGGGCCCCGCGGACGCGATCTGATCGACAGCTTGGGACGGGGCTTGTACAGGACGCCGACGGACCAGGATCCGGGAGCCCCAGTGGTGAGTCGTTTACCGTTCGTTTTTGATAACGTTTCTTCACGGTTGACGGGCCAATATTGTTTGTATTCGAGTCGCATTCGGTCCGTTCGTGACGCGCGCAGACCGCCCTAGGGCTGGACAATTTTTTTACCATCGCCATGATCAATCACGATCATCTCGGGAAAATCGATTTTTATCCAAATGATTAAATGGATTAATCGTTTAATGATTAGATCAACTACAGATTTATATTTAATAACCTGTTAAATTAATGAGTAGACTCTTTAAGGAGTAAAAATTAATTTATTAATCGTATTATTTTGATTAACGATTTCAAGTTCCAACGATTATTATTTTTTGAATTAGAGCAAAATATGGAAGAAATAGGGCCCGGATTTAAACGCGCTTAAAATCATACAAATATGCTCTAAAAAATATCCAAAAATGTCCTTATAAAATGCATTATATTACAAAAATGACCTTAAAAATGAAAAATTACATAATTTTTTTTTATTTTGGGTATTATTTAACACACTATTTAATACATTAAAATCACATTCATACGTAATCCGAGCAATGTCTACGAAATAATAAGAACTAGCTGATTATTTGTTATTTTACCGAATACTGGTGACGTTCCATAGTAAATAATAAAGATAAGATAAAAACTGAATCGAAAAATAAAGATTGACAATGTCTATGGGAAAACCCGATAAACCTACTTAAATATCAAGAAAATAATTTGTCTTTTGATATTATTTTGAATAGGTTAAATTTGTTTAGTATATCGAACAAATATGCATTAAAAACCAACTAAATGATCCAATAATACTAAAAATGCTCTAAAAAATGAAAAAAATGTAAAATATAATTTGTAGTTTTGAAACCCTCGTTACATGAAACGAATTATGTTCTTAGAGAGCATTGTGTATGATCAACTAACTTTGCATTGAATTCCGGGCCCTAGTAATAACTAACAACGTTTTATTGAATAATCATTTTAATAAACCGATTAATCGATTTTTATAAAAAAAGTAAAAATGTTATGATGGTTTTACATAGAAGTATTACGCCGTTCAACATTTCAAATACGCCAGGAATGCTATTTATCCATATGTATTAAATATAATCCAACAGTCGAACATGCGATTTTCTAATAAAATTGATTACGATCACAAGGTACGACAATGCGGAAATCTATGTGTGGTGCGTTAGGGGTTTCGCCACACTTGTTCTCAAACACATCTTGAGTAAACAAGTGACGAAAAACGATACCTACTTGTGGAGTGTATCAACCACAGCCTGTTATATTTGTATGGAAAATGTTGAATGTGTATTATTAATTTTAATGATATTGGTAATATTTTCGTGCACTGTCAAATTATAATCGAACCACTCTCACGTTTTCAATTGGTCGGTAATTGTGATAACGAAAAACGAAATCGACTGCCTAGGACATCGATCACTGATGTTGTACTCGTAACTGTGAATTGTAGAAACATATTTATACATCCTCGTACATATGCATAATTATTATATATCGCACATGATCAGTATGAACTCGTATAAGTTTTACCGAGTATCAAAACTTTTATGCATTACAGTTTTCCACATAGAATGGTTTGGAACACTTCACCGGACAAACAATGAACATATCGGATCAACATATTGTCAGAACCGACGGTTTCGATACCTATTGATCGAAACCATTATACGAGTCGGGCTAGCCTAGCCTTCGTGCGACGACAGTACAATACAATACCGTTAACGTTTATAATGATTGAATATTTACCGAGCTCAAATGGTAGTTGTATATTTTATGTACATAACATCGCCGTCGGAACCTGTGCATAGTACGGTGCAGAATAGCCAAGTCAGCGATTACTGTGTAATATGCAACCAAATATTCAAATGCATAATTCTAGAGCACATAATTCATTAAAGAGGCGCTTAGCGCAATAGTTCTCTCCTTCCCCATCGACATTCGAATAATGAACTCGCCATACGTTGCTGTTGCAAAAATAATGCACGTATCAGTGGCGTAGACGTACACTCGAGATCGTGAAAAATAATTAATATTGCATTAACTAATACTATTTTTTATCGAATTAAATTATTTTATTACTTTATATTACGGCCTACGCTAGGCGTTTTCAATTCCAAAAATATTAATAACCATACTATTACTTTCACGATTTCCGATAGTCGCAATAGTGATGGGTTTTGAGTAATAGTTGTAGAAATGATTTTCAAGTCTTTTTACATATAATTTTATACATAAAATAAAAAATTAAAATTTTTTTTTTTGTAGATATGTCACATAAAAATAGGCAGAGGGGCTAAGTTAAAATAAGTGCTCAATATTTTTTTTAGAGGTGGCAAAGTTTGATTTTGCCTAGTGCACTATTTTTGCTTGAGTCGGCCCTGCTTAAATTCTATTTTCTTTCCATTTCTATTTCCTTCGTTCCGAGTCGTAGATGCCATCGTCGTCAGTGGGTCACCGCGCAGCTCGTTTGAGTATAGATTGCCTATCTCGTACAGAAACGAGGCGTTTTAAATGGTGGCCTATTCAGACAGATTTTGGGCGCAATTGTTAGTCTTATTATTTTCAGTCTAAATATCGTGTCACTCTTGTTCCTTTCTTTGTCCTCGTCGTACCCCCGTCAATAAAATTATTTGAAAAACTCTAAAGGTATTAAGTTTCGTTAAAATAATGTCTGGTAATTTAAACACACCATCTCTCTTAAATATTTAAGTCTTAAATCTTAAATTGTGCACTTGTGCGATCGATCGTTCAATATGGCTCACTCGAATGGGATCCTCAAACAGCTGATGCCTGTATACAACTCGGACGGGTCAGCGCAAATTCCTATGATTTATAAGACACGTCTTGAATTTAAACTGCGCTTCTCATAACTATACTCCCCTATACAATAAATAACAACATATTGTGTGTAATATGATTTCCGGCTGGATTCCGGAGGTACTTCCGTTTAGTTATCAGCGGCGGTTTGCAAAGCGTTTTTTATTTTCATATCCGGATCTCTCATTAAAGTATGCGATAAATAATTAATGTTTAGAAAACGCGAGTTAGTGACCACATATCTTTTCCCTTAAAATAAACTAAACTCTCTGGCCTTGTAGCCGACAGCTCAAATGTATCTGTTGAAACGGACGCGTTAAAAGCGTTTACTTATTTTGCAATATAGATCTCCTCGCGCAGTGCATTTGATATTGTCACAATTTTGTCATTATTTTTATTCGATATTTTTATAATAATAAATATAATATAATAACGCGTGTTTGTCTTTGGTACATACGCGTATTACTTCTACCGTGATGATCACTGTATCTTTTCTATGTAATCATGAAATATCTAACAACTCTTGTCTAACACTATCACTTTATGATCACTATAGTTTTAAAACCATTTTATGTCGTGCCGTTATATTATTATTATTATAAATTATATTCTTATAAATATTATAAAAACCTGAAATAAGTTTGTTAACCTAGTGGTGAGGGAGGAGTGAAGGATGAAACTTAAATCCTCTCATATCTAACCCGTACTAAAAATTGCTTAGCCCCTTCTATTTAACAATTTTGGCTACTCCAAGTTCGAACTCTTAAAAAGGATTGGATTTTTTTTTTCTTTTCATTTGAATCCATGAAACATTATTCTTATACAGCTTTGTATTCGTTTTATTATTCAAATGCAACTCAATTTCGGTTTTTTTTGAACTTCAAAGTGTATTAAAAAATTTCTTCTCATTTTACTATAAAAGTTTAAGTATTTGATGATGTAACAATTTTTTTTTCTTTCCGTTGACAAGTGCGGTAACATGAAAATATGATATTGATCGGTCGCAAAATGTATTTATGTACTCATGAACAACCAACTTGTGTGTGTGGGGTTTTTAAACGTAGGCATTGTCATTTTCCGCACAGTAGTTATCGACAAGAACTAACAAAATCATGATGTGATGGATTAATGATTTCTCAACGGACGATATCCTTAAACTTTTACAGAAGCTTTTTAGAACGGTTTTCATTTTCAACCGAGACGCGCACGTTTGTTCTCGGTGCCCAGACTTAAACTTATGACATTTAATTAATTTAATGTTCATGTACAGTTATGGTTACTACGAGTTGGGCGGCCGAAGAGCGCTCGACGACGGTTCACTTCGCGGCACATAACGTTTCGAGCGAAACATTACGACGATGAACGATGTTTAAAAACCGAAATAACGAAGAAAAATAATAATAATAAAAACGGGTGAACAGGTGGGATGCGTACGTGAATGGTGTGCGCAACAGGTGCGAAGGGTAGGTGCAGTAACAGCTCGTCACGAATATACCGTTATTATTACGATAAAACTTTGTTGGGATATTTCTTGTCGGCACGGTCGACGGGTACACGGTTTTGTACCAGCCAAAAATGCAGCGAAGTGCGCGCACGCGGTTCGCCATGCCACGCACGTTTCGGTGAAAATCGTTGCGCGCGAATTAGGCGTGGCTCCAAGGAGGGAGGCACTGAGGCCATGATCCTTCAGGTTTTTCAAAAATTTTAAATGTTTAATACATTTTTGTCCTTGTGAACTGTAAAATTCTGATTATTTCATTAGATACCTGCCCTATAATTTTATTTTGCCTATAAAAAGCCATATTATGACATTAATATGAGGTGTGTATCATAATATAGGAACGTAGTCGGACTCTGCGTCTCAGTACTAATTTGGGGGAAACAACTATTATCAGTTAGTACTCGAAACGCTCCCCTCCCCTTGGTAAGTATCCGAAGCCGCGCCTGATTGCGATACTGTACGAAAATAATAATAATAATAACAATAACAGTGCAACGGGACAGAATGCTTTTTTCGGGTGCGCGCGAAAAATGCGGTTTATAATGGGAGAGCCGTAGCAAACGCTTGACAGAAATCCAGTGACCGGTCCGCATTATTTCGAAAGCTCGGCATGGTCAAAAAACGATATCACTTGTAATAATGAAAATGTTTTGTCCGTTACAGATTGCTGATGGGGCATCAGGCAAAGCGTCGGTCAAGAATCCCGTTTCAGGTGCCGAACGAGCGAAGCAACAATAATTTTTTTTGTTGATTTTTCTCCGTTCGGCCAGCCGGATCGGTGTTACTGTCGACGTCCGCAAAAGCGTTCAACGTTGTTCACAAACGCAACGTGCGTACATCCAAATTTTCTACGTATAATACAACGACGCTGCCACTCGGGTCTCGTCGAAACATTAATTTTGCCAAAATCGTCAACGATGACCGGTGACTGTATGTAAATATTAGATTAAACTCACGCGATTGTATCGATATAAATATTATATACTTGTAAATAATTGTATTCGTGTTATATTGATTTAGAAAAACGTAAATACACGATTCGAAGGTATTATGTATTATAATTTACTTATACGTATTGTTGTGTAACACCGCAATGAAAAAAAAAAAAAAAAAAAAACATTCAATCGAAAAATAAAGTATAAACTGATGTATTTTATGTACAATACACCTATACGTCGTAAATGTCGTAACGTTTGAATGATTGCGCTGTATAATTGGAAACAACATTTTTTGACGAATTTCTATGAATTCCTTGTGATTCATTCGAAGAATATGTTCACGCTAATATAATCAGTATGTTTTGGAACTTTTACACGAGACGCATTTTGTAAAAATCTCATTTTAAGCTATAATTCTATACATTTAACTTAATATAGAAATAAAAAAATAAACGCTAGCCTAGAATGTTATTGTATTTGTAAAATACGACCGGTTTCGAATTGATAATGCAGGTACATACAAAGTTAATAAAATTACGATTGAATATGAAATAATAAAATCATAACTTAATCAACCAGGGGCGTTATTTCAACTTTTGAAAGGGCGGGGGAACTGATTAAATTTACCGACTTCATAATATTTAAAAAATTATGGTTACCTATATATTTAAATATTTAATACTTATTGGACGATAGACTATCAATAAAATATTTTTTCGGAATAAAACAGGTAAGAATTAGTAATGAATAATGATGTCATGATGATAAACGAAAAACATGAAACGTTTTAATTTACCCAATTAAATAATAACATTAAAGATAGTAATTTATTTATTTACTTATCCTATAGGCTATAAGTTACTTATCAATAGGTTTAATGGAATAATAATATAAATCTAACTAAATAAATACTAATAATTTTATTATTTGTACATTTGATACTTTACAGAACTTATTTATAAAAACATAAAATTGTATCTCAAATATAATGTACCGTAGTTTGGGGTGAAAAGGAAAGATTTTAACGGTTTTTTTATAGATTATGAGCTCAGGTGAATACTGGGTTCATTTTCGCCACCGGGAACTGGATATAATTAGGACCCACTTAATACAAATACCAATAAAAATGAGTCTATAACAATAGCCAGGTTAAATCTGATGCAACTCATTCAATTAATGCAAGTATGTGGTATAAATTTTAGTTTTATTTTATGATTTTATCACAAAGTAATTTAAAAACGGTTATAAATCCATGAATACTCATTTTCTTATTGCTAGTTGTAGTTTTTAATTACCTACTAGGTAGTAAAATATAGGTACAAAATTATCATTTATCCGTGAATTTCAAACCTTCTTAACGTCACTTTACATATAGTAATCATGATCATACATGGGGACTAGATATCCAGATATTTAATGTAATAATTATTTATGGAAAATAGAGTAGGTACCTACTACCTATATGCTAGGTATATATAGTAAGTATTTATTATTTACATTAATTATTTATCAACTCTTATTGTTTTTGAAACTTAACATAATGAAATTTCATAGTGTTAAATCTTACTGTATTTAAATCTTAACATGTAACTTTTTTGACAAACAAAATTTAAATAATAATAAACTTTAAAAATTAAAAATAAAACAAAATAAAATTAATTTAATGACGAATGGGTCTCATTAATTTGTTCTACATAAAAAAGGAGAAATATACATAAAAATTAAACATACATAAAAGAAAAACTATTTTATTTTTTAACACTGAAATATTTCATGCATTTTAAATATTTCATGAAATGTTCAAACACTAATTATATTACGTTTCAAATCAAAATCAATTAAAATCCTATGTGTTAAATGTTGACGACCATTGAAATGTAAATTTTTTCATATGCAAAAGCACTAATAATAAACTTAAAAGTCTTACTTTTAATAATAATTATGATACTCAAAATAATTTAGATGTATCAAAAACGATGACACAAGTTCAATTTATTTGTTTTCGTGATGGTGTGTTATTATGGTGATGGTACATAATTGTTATTTTAAGAAAGAACGGAAATGTTTGACGAGATCGGAAGAATCTTCCAAGATTATTATTTCAACTTATATATATGTATAATTTCCTTACAACTTTATTTTTGGGTGTTATTGTAGGCGTTGAAAACGTCTGCAGAGCATTCAATCTTCCACGAAATTCTTGAAAAATTCCAAAACCTTCTCCCTTCTTATAGGATCGTCCGCTGTTGAATTACTTTCATTCCAAAAGATGATTTCATCAGCCATTCAAAATTCTCGTTACACTTGTAAGTGTTATACAACAAAAAAAATCGAAATGATAAATACAAAGATAAACGGTAATCAAAATTAAAACATTGCTCTCTAGGTATAACAGTTTTGTCACACTTGTACCGAAAGTTTGGTTTGAGACCACGGTCAAAGCGTGGGAATGAACATTTATCCGTCCTGCGGGCGGTAAGATGGGAATTCCACAGGGACGGGCGGTGAAGTGGAAATCCCTGTAACACCGTGTAGTAAAGTGGAAATTTCCAAGAGCGCTGGCCACATATTATCAGCACAACCAGAAACTTAAATGTATACCACGGTCCGTACAAAACATAAACTATCGGTTAATTCTTGTACACATATCACAACCTCTTTGCACGACGCATAAACATTTATACGTATTTTGTTTTCACTGTTCCCACACAAGTGCGTTGGACGTTACGGATAGATTTGTTTTGCGCGATTTACATAATAATTCGAATTAGAAAATGAGATCGTTCGCGCAAGTGTCACGTCGCCGTTCAATTTATCGCATTTCGTGTTAACCGGAACACCCGATACCGGTGTCGGCGTGTGATGTTTGAGGATTTTCGATCGGCGTGTTATCGCGGTACGATTTTCACCGGTCCGTGGACGCCATTACTGCCGGGACTTTTTTTCGCCGACATTTTTTCTGCGAACGTCCTACTCGTCGTTTTTCCCGTGCCACCGGCCGTGTGCTTTTGTGGTTGCAGCATAGCGTAGTGGAGTCGCCATCTCCGGGGACAACTTTTATAAAAGTATTAAACGTGTAGTTTATGTATATATATATATTAATTTAGAGTAAACTATAAGCAATTTCCACCGGGTTATTTTCATGAAAACTAATTTAAACCAATGGCTACCTGGTATATTTTAACTGAAAAAATTAAATAGTTGAATGTTGCAGTGTATTCTATTCTTATGTACACATATACGATTCTAAATTGTGTAGGAACTAATTGCTCAGCTGTGAAACCTTCATTATTTAATCAAGTCACATTATATTCATGCGAGCATAATTTATACTTAATATGGATGACGTATATGGTAAATAATAAAAAATCAAAACTGGGAATTAGGTCACCGCAGTATATTTACGTAAAGATACGTAATGAATATATTATTTATGTCGTAGTCATGAACATAGTTAAGCTATTGACTAATCGACTATAGTACAATAATAATTGCCTTATACGGTTGGACTCATAATAAGAGTAACAATTAATTTTAGGCAAATGCTAAATTTATTGGGTTAGATAACAAGAGTTTTTTTTATTTTTTTTTTATCGTTCTTAAATACATCAGTATTATTTTTATATAACTTTGAATTATATTTGTATAAAAGTGTTATCGTTACACGCAGTAATCGAGTTATCATGTCGAGAGAGGTTATTTCACGATACCCCGGTGAATATAATAAAAACAATAATAAAAAAGAAGAATGATCGTTCATAAACAATTTTATAATATATGTGACATAGGGCGTAAAATCGAGCGGACTCCGAAAGGTTGCAAAGGACCCGAGTGTTTGCTCTAAAAACGGCATGGTGACTGCAGGTAGGATAGGTTTCCGTTTACATTACACTTGATTTTAATTAAAAACGTGAAATTAATATGTTTGAAAATTTAATATCGCTTAATACTCGACGAGAATAATTCGTACGAACATAAAGAATAAAAGTATAATATCTTTGTTAAATAGGTTTGGTGTTACATGATACTTTTTCCAAACGAACAGCGATGTGTTAAAGTCGAAATTTTAGTTACTCTATAATCGTACGAGCAGCTGCGTTTGCTTCAACAATCGATCGAACATTTTACTACTAAAACACATTCGACCCGAAAACTGTTCCAAAATATTTCTAGACCGATATGTTATGAATGTACTGTTATTGAGATTTTATACGTATCGTACAAAAATATATTTTAAAACAAAGATTTTCGAGAAAATAAACAATCATCATTTTTAAAAAATGTGCATACATTTAAAAAATCAGATGACTTTTGTATATATACGTACATCATAAAAAATAGTATCTCCTTATGATTGCACTCAAAATACTGTCAATCGATATGAAATAATAACACAAGTTCAAAAAAAAAAAGGCATTCGTGTAGCAGGTGATCTATCGAATTATACAAGGTGTAGTTGGTAATCTACAATTATTATTACCTATTATTATATTATACTATTATTATACGCACATTATCGTAGACGGCAGTGGGACAGTATTGCGATAACGATTATTGACATTTACAATACAACTACGAGTCATTAGCAATGTTGGTGGATAGGTTAGATTCATATAGTCTATGGTCGGAGTTTGTCTATAATGCGTGCGTCTGAATTTTATAAAATGTTTACTGTAATTGAAATTATAATTATATTTGTCTAATAATTTTTTATTTTTATATTTGACGAATATTTGTATGATACTCGTAGTAAAAAATATAATGTGTTTTTATACTATTAAAACGTAGATCTCTCGTCCTGAATTCGCAGATCACCCACCCCCCGGAATATCCCCTACAAGATGAATTCCAAAAAAAAAATAATATCTTATATCAATACATTTTAGATAATAATAAATAACAAAAACCAATTTATATTTCTTAACAAATCCATGACTAATAAGAATTCATTTTAAATAAGTAGGAATGTTTGTGGGCTTTTACAACTTCCGCCACCACCACGAAATCATCGTTGATCTAGGAGTCTTCAAATTTAAGTTTGCTTAAGTGTGATCAAACATTTGAGCCGGGCTCCTGTTAGTTTCTGTTCGTAGTTCGTACTTCTTTCACTTTTTGTACTCTTGTTCTGAAATCTGAAACAATCATCGTCGTTCAGCTTTATAGACTTGTGAATTTCACCGTGAACAAGTGTTAACATTCGAGTTCGTGTGCGGGATCAATTTTATACCTTTTTGTTGTATTCATTCTTAAGTAATTACGGCGTTCAATGTTTCGATTAAATATCGTAAAAAAAATGTCTAGATTAATTACGGTAAATAACTAAAGATTTCTGTGATAGCCTTAGGATTTTTATTTAAATAAAATAATAGATACTTATCTATTTTTAATTTTTATTATTTGTATCTGGTTAAATCTAAGCACTTTTAATAATAGTAAAAATTGTTAAACACCTGTGCGTCTGAGCTGTCTCGTTCGGGCGCCGTATAACATAGGTGACGTGTCGAATTAATAAGTTGGTGAAGTGTGTACAATGTACACTGTACATATTAAAATAACGCATGCATTAATTGAGGCCCCAGTAGTAAAGAATATGAAACTTCGAAAGGTTAGATAAGGAGTCATTTTTTTTTTTATTTTGGTTAAGGAGTCATCTTTTTTCTGTTTCACACAAGTATTCTTCAAAATAGTCTGTGATCGATTGAAATTCGAGAGAAGATTCGGTTCGATTCTCGGTCAGGTTTTTGTGATTTTTCTTATTTTTTTTTTTTTTTTTTGTCACACCCATTTATATTTATTTTTATTATAAATTATTATATACAATTTGGTATTATTATATACAATTATTTGGTCTCAGCGTAACGTTCAACCGCAACATTATCACCGTCCCGCGTTGTTTGACGTCCGATAAGGTTTGCAGTGAAACACAACGCGTTAACCATCCGATAATCTTTTGGAATAAAACAAATGCATATTTTATCTTCTTATTTTTACTAAGCCCATTTCGTTCTAATCGCAGCCAACTGATTTAAAACGTTGCTTTTGTACCCGACAGTGTATCTAGGATTTAATTACTGTGGGTCAGATTGTTTCAAAATGGCCATGTCGCGTAACGTTAACCACCTATATCTATGCATTACAAATTTACTCGCTTTGCTAGCAAGTAACGATTTACTTTATCTGTTTAATATATTCATACCTAAAATCATTTTTCGCAATAACATAAATGACTATTAACTATCTCATTACTAATTGTTGAATTTATTTATTGCATTTCGATTGCTCTTCGATTAACAATAATTTAGGTAGGTTTGTAAACGTTTGGACAAACTAATTGTATTATTTTTTTTTTTGTTTCAACAATTAAGATCGTTTAAATTGTGAACAGAGCATACATGATTACTATTAAAATTATAAATATTTTGATGAGTTTTAATATTTTCCACAAATGTGTTTGGTTTGTTTTTCGAACGAACACTTTCGTGTCCATAATAGATAATATAGGTATATATCAAATATTCTAATTCAAAAATAAACATTTATACAATTAATAATTTTACACCTTATATTTTTATTACTTCTTACATTATGAAATAATTATTATATATTTTATACAGATGGAAAAAATTATAAAATACAGTAATAAATAAATACCTATAGTTACAATAAGAGGTATTTCAATAATTTTCTTGAATTTTTCATTAGGGGAAAACGGACGGTTACAACCCTGTATAGGGCGTCAGTCGTTTTCGCCAAAAAAACTTGATTTTAGTTTCCGCCAAGTATCGTTTCTGCCAAAACGTAAATGTTCGATTTTCATTTCCGCCAAATCTATTTCTACACAACTGTCTAAAATATAGTTTGAGAACCGTTTAGAGTTACCCAGGGGCCACCACGGAAAGGCGGTTCTTATTGACCCTCCAAAAAATTGTTTGACTTAATTTTCAGATTCATATTTTTGAACTTCAATTGAATTTTATAATTAAATTTGTATATATATATATACATTTAAAGTCAAATATTTCTAATAATTCTATAATTCTATTAATTATTTATTATTTCAAATAATTGTTGCATACTTTTTTTTAAAAACGTCATTCTTAAAATTTTTTTATTCTTATATTCTTCTACTTCGTTTATTGTATTTATTAATTTTTTTTTTTTACATCTTACAGAATAATTTATAAAATATATACACATATATATATATATATATATATAAAAATTCTAATATACTCAATAAATACGTATATTATTCAGTGAAGTAACATTTACAAATAACTCGATTGATAATTATTAAAATCAGCTAATCATACGAAATAAAATATTTTCTAGGCAAACGAAAAGTTGATGAAATGTACACGTCGTGACCGGAGCTTAACGATTTTACGATTCTCAAAAGTTACGGTTTTCGAAAAATGTCCTCTTAGCGTACTGATACACAGTAGGTAATAAGTTACATTCCTTAAAAATGTCAAACGAAACGGTAACGATAGTTTTGGCTGTACGCCGATCAGTAAGTGATTGAGAGTGGTATTTGAATTTCAAATACATAGATTATTGTGTCAGCGACATGTTCTTAACGAAGTGGAAGGAAACGATATGGGTTTTTGTGCACGTATTATCGACATGTTTGGTTTTTGTCTTTTTTTTTTTTTCTTCAACAGTTTTCTTTAAACTAAAAGTATACGTTGAGACTAATAAACGCATTGAATTCCGAAAATGTTCTTAGATAGACAAAAAAAAAAAAAAGAAAAGAATCCACAATTTTGTCGTTTTCTACGCGAACCTTTTTGGGTGAATATACCTCTAACGATTTGAGATCAAATGATATTGACTTTGTTTTGGTTTTTACGACCGTTGTACTAATACGTGTTTTAAACAAAATGCGATATTAAGATTACCTACATATATACGTTACGGGCAATGTGGAATTGCATAACAATAATGTGTACGCATAGACACGGTATCCTGGGAAATGTAATGCTGACCGGACTTTACATATATTTTTCCTCACGAACGGTTAAACAAAAAAATAAAAATAAAAAAAAACACGTCAAGTTCCTAT